AGCCCAGGAGTTGGAGGTTGCTGTGAGCTGTGATGGCATGGCACTCTACCCAGGGGGACAGCTTGAGGCTCTGTCTCAAAAAAAAAAAAAAAAAAGAATTTGAAGACTCTAGACCTTACCTTCAGAACTAGTTACTTAATTTTCAAGGCTTAAGCCAAAATGAGTATACAGGTCTCCTTGTCAAAAATTAAGAATTTCAAGACAATGACAATGGAGCAAACCAATGGGCAATCACGTGGGTTGCACACACACCCATGAAGCTGGCCCTGCTTATCTTCAGCAGCAGGACAAAAAACAGAGATGAAAAATGGCAGATGGCAACATATGTTATGGAAACCTCTGGAGACAGCCTGCTCTTTCCACTCTGCAACCTACACAATTATTAATATAATGACAATAGTCACATTTATGGAGTCCTTGCCATGAGCTAGAGAGCAGGTAGAATGCTCTACCCACACGACCTCATTTAATCATCACACCCCTTAAAGATGGAAAACCAAGGATCAGAGAGCATGAGGAACTTGTGCAAGGGCACATGAGCCTAAGTCATCTAGATCCCAAAATCCACACGTGGAATCACTGTGTGTGCAACCTACAAACCTTCCTTAAACCCCTCCTTTGCCAAAAGAGCGGAGCTGGATTTGGTTTTCATCTCTGGGTCCAACTTCCCTTCTCGAACTTTCCCCCACGCCTCTGACCCTTCTTTCTCAGAACACATGTGATTGCTCTAGTTCCCCTTGAGTGCCTGCTCCTCCCACCAGGGGAAGTCACACTTACTTGATGGGCAGCTTGGGATTATATTTGTATATTTATTTTTGTTTTATTTTTAATGGCTTGCCATGAAGTTTAAAATGTTTTCTGGGTAGTAGAGAGATGGGAAAGTCTTGATTCAAATGGGTGGTTGGGCACAGTGGTTCACACCTATAATCCCAGCACTCTGGGAGGCTGAGGGAGGTGGACTGCTTGCACTCAGGAGTATAAGACCAGCTTGAGTGAGAGCGAGACCTTGTCTCTACTAAAATAGAAAAACTAGCCAGGCATTGTGGTGGCACCAATAGTCCCAGCTACTCAGGAGGCTGAGGCAAGAGAATCATTTAAGCCCAAGAATTTGAGACTGCAGTGAGCTATGATGCCACAACACTCTACCCAGGGCAACAGAGTGTGACTCTGTTTCAGAAAAAATAAAATGTGGAAGAGCCCAGTGAAGATGTAAGGAGATTCTAGGCTGCAAACCTTCTAGTGAGTTCCAAAATGGTGCAGAACTTTCATATAATATTTTAGAACTGGCGGACTGGGTGTGATGGCTCACACCTGTAATCCTAGCATGTGGGAGGCTGAGGTGGGTGGATTGCCTGAGCTTATGAGTTTGAGACCAACCTGAGCCAGAGAGAGATTTCATCTCTAAAAATAGCTGGGTGTTGTGGTGGGCACCTGTAGTCCAAGCTACTTGGGAGGCTGAGGCCAGGGGATCACTCCAACTCAAGAGTTTGAGGTGGCTGTGAGCTATGATGCATAGCACTCTACCGAGGGCAACAAAGTAAGACTCTATCTCATAAAAATAAATAAATAAATAACATTTTGGAATTGGAAGTATTATTAGAACTAAACAGGGTTCAAATCCTGGCTCCACCATTTACTTATCTGTGTGGCTGCAGCCAAGTTGCTTAAACCCTCTGTGCCACAGTTCAAAGGGGATCATAATACTATAAGGCTTCATAGTGGTAGTGTTAAGTAACAATTATCACTATTATTATCCTCATTATTAATGTTATTAGAGCTCATGGGAGTTCTTAGAGAGATTGCATAGCATCATGGCTAAGAACACAGATGCTCAAACCAGACCACCTGTATCCAAGTCCCACTTGACTACTTACTATCTATATGACATCAGTTTAGAGATGCCATGTGCAGCTCAGTTGGACCAATAAGACTCAAGGCCAGAACTTGTGCTAAACCCACCAAGGAGCAGAAGTTCTTTCTGCTGGAGTTACTCTGCTAGCCACAAGCCTAGGGCTGCTGGGACTATCCTGGTCCCTTCTGGAGGCCAGCCTGCCTCAAAGAAAAGCTGGCACATAGGGAGAAAGATAAAAGGGCTGGGAAAAAGACAGAGTCACAGTGACATTGTTTGAGCCCCTGGATCTGGCTGTGCCTGAAGCAAGCCTTCTTTGGACTTCCTGGTTTCATGAGCCAGTAAATTCCCCGTTTTGCAAACGCCACTTTCAGTTGGGTTTTTCCCACTGGAACGTATCCAGACTGACACCAAGAGGTTAAGCAACTTGCTCCAGGCCTCAAAGCGAGTGAGTAGCAGACCCAGGATGGAGAAGCTCCTAAAGTACTGGACCATGATGCTCTACCACCCTCTGGCATGTGAGCATTTTGTACTTGGGTGTTCATTGATTTCACTTCTTCTAACCTTCCCTGAGCAGATACGCCTATTTTGTCATCTGTCAAATGGGGATAACACCAGGCTTGCAGAGCTGGCTGTTGGGAAATTCAAAATTCGAGGTAACACTGTTAGGTACCATGGGTTGCTCTGTGCATCCAGTTTCCAGTGCTTTCAGCCAGCCTGAAAGGTGCCCAAACTTCCCTAAGTGAGTACTTGTGAATCTCAGAGTGGAGGGCCACCTCCCTGCCTGCATATATGGCCCCAGTGGTGGGTGAAGGGAACAGAATGATCCTGAGGACCCTCGAGCTCTGAGTCTGGGAGGT